TCATCCTATGAAGTTTGAACATTGTGGGTCAAATGGAACTTAAGTTATGCGTGGAAACATATTTTTCAGTATCAATGTAATAGTGACCTTCACCTTTGACCTTGTGACCCCAAAATCAATAGGGGTCTTCTACCCAATATGGACAATCATCCTATGAAGTTTGAACATTGTGGGTTGAATGGAACTTAAGTTATGCTCTGGAAACTGTTTTCAGTTATAAGGTAATAGTGACCTTGACCTTTGACCTTTTGACCCCAAAATCAATAGGGGTCTTCTACCCAATATGGACAATCATCCTATGTAGTTTGAACATTGTGGGCCAATTGGAACTTAAGTTATGCTCCGGAAACTGTTTTCAGTATCAAGGTCAAAGTGACCTTGACCTTTGACCTTGTGACCCCAAAATCAATAGAGGTCTTCTTCCCAATATGGACAATCATCCTATGAAGTTTGAACATTGTGGGTCGAATGAAACTTAAGTTATGCTCTGGAAACTGTTTTCAGTTATAAGGTAATAGTGACCTTGACCGTTGACCTTTTGACATCAAAATCAATAGGGGTCTTCTACCCAATATGGACAATCATCCTATGAAGTTTGAACATTGTGGGTCAATTGGAACTTAAGTTATGCTCTGGAAACTGTTTTCAGTATCAAGGTCATAGTGACCTTGACCTTTGACCTTGTGACCCCAAAATCAATAGGGGTCTTCTTCCCAATATTGACAATCATCCTATGAAGTTTGAACATTGTGGGTCGAATGGAACTTAAATTATGCTCCGGAAACCGTTTTCAGTTTTAAGGTAATAGTGACCTTGACCTTTGACCTTTTGACCCCAAAATCAATAGGGGTCTTCTACCCAATATGGACAATCATCCTATGAAGTTTTAACATTGTGGGCCAAATGGAACTTAAGTTATGCTCCGGAAACCAAATTGCTAACGGACGTACGGACGGACGGACAGACGGACGCCAGGGGGTATAACATAATATGCCCTTTCGGGCATATAAAAAGTATGTCATTGCAAAATTCTGAAATTATGGTTAGTTTTATATAATAAGGATATACATATACTGTTATAGACATGATATACATTATTTTTCCCCCAACTAGTTGTTAAGTTGTCAAGACGTGTAGACTTATCTTAGTGTAACTTAGAGTATAGCAAGCTTATGTGAAGAGCTTGCTTGGGATTGCTTTCCGGTCCCTTACGGTCAAGGTCACTGCAATTAAAAATAGAAAATTGGTTTCCGGTCAATAACTTTTAGAATGAGATATTTCAATGAAACTTGGTGTATAGCCAGCTTATGTGAAGAACTCCCGCTGCATTGCTGTTACTTAAAATAGAAAGAAAATTTGTTTCCAATCAATAACAACATTTATGAATGAGATATTTTAATTAAATGTGTTGTGAAGCATTCCTATTTGAAAGCCTCACTTTGCTCACAGGATTAATTATTTAGATCAAGATCACTGAAAATAGAAAATTGGTTTCAGGTTGATGAGTAGAGTTAGGAGTGACATTTAAAGAAGCTTATGTGAAGACCCAACTTGGAATTGATATAGCCTTTAATAAATAATACATGAATTGCTTAAAAGATTGTCAAATTGTAAAATCATTTGAGCTTTCTTTGTTTGTGTTGCCCTTGCTTTACATAAGCCTGTTGCTGATTAGATAGCCAAATTGTAAACCATTTTGTGTTTCTATGTGTTTAGTGTTGTGCTTTTTAAATTATTTTTAGCTCACCGGTCACATAGTGAAATGGTTAGCTTTTGTGATCGCTTTTCCTCCGACGTCCGTAAACCTTTTCTTTAAACAACATCTCCTAGTGAACCGAGGAGCCAATTTCATCCAATCTTCGCAGAAATATTCTTTTCGTGGTCACCTTTAAAAATTGTTTAAAGAATTTAAATTCATGCAGAACTCTGGTTGCCATGGCAACCAAAGAAAAAAATTAAAAAATCTTCTTTTAAAAATCTAAAAGAGATAGAACTTAGATATTTGCATGGAACACTTTCTAGTGTGTGTCTAGCAAGTTTATTTAAATAAAAGCCCTGGGGTTATATTTGGCTCCGCCCCAGGGGGTCATTGTTTCTCCATATATGTATATGGTAAAAACTTAAAAATATTCTTTTAAAGAACCCAAAGAGCTAGAGCTAAGATATTTAGCATGAAACATGTTCTAATGAGTGTCTACCAAGTTTGTTCAAATAAAGCCCTGGGTCAAAATTGGCCCCGCCCCAGGGGGTCATTGATTTTCCCTATATGCATATAGTAAAAACTTAAAAAATCTTCTTTTAAAGAACTCAAAGAGCTAGAGCTAAGATATTTAGCATCAAACATGTTCTAATAGGTGTCTACCAAGTTTGTTCAAATAAAAGCCCTGGGGTCAAAATTGGCCCCGCCCTGGGGTCATTGATTTTCCTTATATGTGTATAGCAAAAACTTAAAAAATCTTCTTTGAAAAAACCCAAATATCTAGAATTTAGATATTAAGCATGAAACATCTTCTAGTGAGTGTCTACAAAGTTTGTTCAAATAAAAGACCTGGGGTCAAAATTGGCCCCGCCTCGGGGGTCATTGATTTTCCTTATATGTGTATAGCAAAAACTTAAAATCTTCTTTGAAAACCCCAAATAGCTAGAGTTTAGATATTAAGCATGAAACATCTTCTGGTAAGTGTCTACAAAGTTTGTTCAAATAAAAGCCCTGGGGTCAAAACTGGCCCCGCCCCAGGGGTGTCATTGTTTTTAACTATATGTGTATAGTAAAATCTTAAAAAAATCTTCTTTTAAAAAGCCCAATGAGCTAGAACTTAGATGTTTAGCATGAAACATCTTCTTATGGGTGTCTACCAAGTTTGTTCAAATAAAAGCCCTGGGGTCAAAACTGGCCCTGCCCCAGGGGGTCATTGATTTTCCCTATATGCATATAGTTAAAACTTAAAAAATCTTCTTTTAAAGAACTCAAAGAGCTAGAGCTTAGATAATTAGCATCAAACATGTTCTAATAGGTGTCTACCAAGTTTGTTCAAATAAAAGCCCTGGGGTCAAAATTGGCCCCGCCCTGGGGGTCATTGATTTTCCTTATATGTGTATAGCAAAAACTTAAAATCTTCTTTGAAAAAACCCAAATAGCTAGAGTTTAGATAATAAGCATGAAACATCTTCAAGTAAGTGTCTACAAAGTTTGTTCAAATAAAAGCCCTGGGGTCAAAACTGGCCCCGCCCCAGGGGTGTCATTGTTTTTAACTATATGTGTATAGTAAAAACTTTAAAAAATCTTCTTTTAAAAAGCCCAATGAGCTAGTTATTAGATGTTTAGCATGAAACATCTTCTTATGGGTGTGTGTGTGGGGGGGGCTATATACAGGTGAGCGACCTCAGGGCCATCATGGCCGTCTTGTTTGCTAAATGTTTTGCTTGTGATGTTAAGTGCCTGAAACTGTTCTACAGTTTTGAAGAACCAAGCTTATTGTACTGACATAATGCCTTTCACAGAGATTACATGTTATATTTATTTTAGTTCAATTTAGGCTTTACAAATTAATGCAAGTGTTGTTTTGTTAAATTTTGTAAATAAACTTATATGGAATAAAATTTAGTTCTTTTTTTTCTTCTTCAAATTATTCAATATTTTCACAGCCTCCAATATGCTGATGATGGATTGATTTATATGTGTTTTATTAACAGTGATTTAGTTATAAATCATATGTTACAATGTCTTTAAAAGCAGTGAGAGGAGTGTGACTGTCCTGCAGTAAACTCAGTATTGTTGTTTGACATTGAGATTTCATGCTGTATATATTTTTATAGGAATTTTCACCATGCAGCATATATACACTGAACTCACAATACTTAAAACTTGTCCCTTTAGTAACAAGAAACAAATAAGAAACATTTTATTAGCACCACTTTTTGAAGAAACAAGAACTGGTTGAACTGGGTAATGCTCCCCCAATAGGTTTTGGACACAGGAAGTTATACCTCTTGTAGTGTAAGAGTTATGTCACAGTCAAAGTTCAAAGTGTAAAAATGAACAAAGAGCAATAACTCCAAAATTAAGTAAGGTACAGTTAAGGTTCTTTTGCACTGCACTTCTATTTAATGGGATCTATCTCCCTACAAAGTTTCATGTTGATACCTCTTATGGTTTCGAAAAAGTTCAAAGAGAAAAAATGAACAAAGGGCAATAATTCAAAAATTATGCAAGGCAGAGTTTTGGTTCTTTTGCACTGCACTTTTACCCAATGAGATCTATCTACCTATAATGTTTCATGTTGATATCTCTTATAGTTTATGAGTTATGTCCAAGTGTAAAAATGAACAAAGGGCAATAACTCCAAAATTAGGCAAGACAGAGTTCTGGTTATTCTGCACTGCACTTCTACCCACAAAGTTTCATGTAGATAACTCTTATAGTTTTAGAGTTATGTCCCAGATAAAGTTCAAAGTGTAAAAATGAACAAAGGGAATGGGACGGCAATAATGTGGCTACTCTATTGTTCTTTTTAGCCACACAAAAGAAAATAGCTACTAATAGAAACATTACGGAATGAATGACATCAAAGACAAAGAACAGTTGCCTATTGTCCCTCTAAAAACATTATTACTGTCCCGTTAGAGCGGACAGACAGACAAAGGGGCGACTATATGCTCACCCTTTGGGGAACATAAAAAAGCCCTATCTTAAGCCTATTTGTTGACAAAGTAACCAACTTTTTCTACATATAAAGAAAAGAAAAAGTCTTGATCTAGTTTTGTGGAAGGACGGACAGAGGGTTAACATAAAGTCCCCTTTGGTTAAACTGGTAGGAGGCTAAAATTAAAGAAAATGTGATTCTCAAATTATATTGATACAAAATTAATTGACAAGTTGTTATTTCCTTCAATACCTTTTTCTTACAGATATAAAAAAAATCAGTTACACTTCCACGACTTTACTTCATGTCCTTCTATAAACTAAATAAACACACTTAATTCTTTATAACACTAAAACATACTGTTTCTAATAATATAATTGTGTAAATCATACTTATAATTATATAGAAATCATTACAATATGATACAGATAATATTCACTAGCAGTCAAAAAGTATGGCCTACCTACAGCTCTCAAAACAAAACCATGACAAATTATATTATTCTATACTGTAAATATAGTTGGCATGTATCTATGGCAGAAGAATAATAAAAAAATCATAAAATTTGAAATTTTGGTACTTTCTTTTATATAATAAAATGCCTTGAAATATAGAAACAAAACTTCATAACAACTGGATGGGAATGCATACTTTAACATAGTTTATTGTTTTATTATAATTAAATCAGTTTAAAGAGTCAAAATACAAGTTATTATCAACATTTCTTTTGAGAATATCGGTTCATGGATATCAAATGTATATCATCAAACACAGCTATAGAATGTACAATAATTAGTTTCTATCCTGTTGGCTGTTAGAATTTTGTTTTTCCAAAATAAGCTTAGAAGTCTAAGACAAATTTCACTGAAAGTAATCACACAAGAGTTTTCAATACACGATAAACTACACTATGTTTTAATTCATCAGTTATTCTGGTTCCTGGTCTTCTGCTTCCATTTCTTCCTCCTCGTCACCTCCTGGAAGATGTTCCTTTACAAGATCTAACAGCTCATATATCTGATCTTCTGTCAATCTTTCCTCACTCTCTTCTATGATCAACTGTATCTCAACGGCGGTCTTTGGTCTTAAGTTCAATAACTGTAACTTCTCGGCCTTTGTTAATTTAAATGACTCTAACGCTTTCATGAAATTTGCAATGATTTCGGGAGATTGCTGAGAACAAGCTGATTGTTCGAGATAATGTGTGATTTCGTATGATATTGTGGCCAGGTTTGTCTGTAATTTACTTTGTTTACTTTGGCCTTTATGCATGTCATTGAGTAGATTAAGAACTTCATAGTTACTCAGCATTGCAGCCTTTTCATTCTTCACTTCCATTTTTGTAAACTGTAAAAACACAAAACACACAATCAGTAAAGTAAAATGTGGTCAAAATACTCACTGTCATAACTATACATATTATGGACTTCCTAAGGCACTGACATATAGATTTTTATGATGGGCATAATAATAAATATTACATAGATAAGAATTTTTTGTTACTACATGTTTATACTTGATTGACTTGATGTTAATGTCTTTTCAGACAAATTTAAAAGACAAACTTAACTTTTTCGAAAAATAAAGGTTTAAATTTTTAAGATCTAAATAGAAACTAGTAATGTGTCCATAGGACACGGATGCCCCCACATTCCACTCTGTTTTGTCAATTTACTGACTCTCTGGTCAAATGTTTTGGGCTACATGTGACACAAGTTGGAAACAAAGTCAATGACGAAAACTCTACAAATACTGAATAAAAGATAAAATCCACAAGCAAACCCCAAGGTGAGGTGCATAACTACACATGCTGACCAAGATTCTTGTATACTTTCAGGACTACAGGTCAAATACATTTTGAGCTATGCATGAACAAGTCTATAATTCATACTAAGTCAAGGGCAATAACTCTTAACAAAACTGAAAAAAACTCATGCAAAACACTAGGTGCATAGCTTCTGACAGTGATGTTGATCATCGATCCTGTAAAGTTGGTTGATTCTGACTCAAGCACTAAAGGTACACATAACACATTATTTTGGAATGGTTTTTACTTATTCAAGGGCAATAACTCTAGAAATACTGAATAAATCTACAATTGAAACCCCTGGTGCACAACTACACATGCTGACCAACATTCCTATAAAGTTTCATGACTCTTTTCATGACTCTAAGTCAAATACTTTTTACTTGAGCTACGTGTGACACAAAAGAGAACGGACATGGGGAGGGACGGACAATGCCCCCTATCGTGGGGGCACAAAAAAAAAAGCCATGTCAAAGAAAAATATTCTTAATATTACCTGGGTCTTTATTGTTCAACTACGTAATTTTCTCTCATGTATCTAACAGATGCCCAGCGTCCAGCCAAAATTGTATAAACCCAACTGAGAATCACCACAGCAAATAATAACTGAAATTATAAATCAAATATAAGTGAAGCACTAATTTTATGCATAGATATTTTGATTTTATAGTTTTGTAGTGAATAATTATTTTTTATTGAACAGAGTAGGCCATGAATGAATACCTTCAAGGAGCCGGGACTCAGCCCACTTCACTTATCTTCATTCAAAGTTTGAAGCTTCTTGGTCAATTCATATTGACTTAACAGCCAGTTTTAGGTCTTGTTAAGTTGTTATTATACAAAAAATGACTTGAAATCAATGGATATGCCTACTAATGACCAACATCAACAATCTTGACACCCATACAACACTTAAGGTAAATTCTATTTTGCAGATTTATGGTTTATTTTTTTAAATACTGAATAACAATCAAAATCTTAGAGTATACGTGCCTTATATTTGATTTCTTTTATTTAGAATGTTTACTACAGACAGGCAGCACGAAATACCCAAATATTGCTCAAACATACTAAAAATAAATGTTTTATACAAAAAAGTGCTGTTTTAATTATGAATTATAATATATACTTTAACTATGATTGATCAAACGTTTTGAACCAAAATATACCCAAATACTGTACTATTTAAAATGCTATATTAAATTTTCTAAAAAAATAATACAATGGACACTTGTATGAAATTTCAACAAAATTATACCCTTAAAATTTAAATGTAGACAACAAATATTATCATGTCTTTATTTTAATTTGCAAGTATATTCAGTAATGAACCTAGATAAGCAAATGTCACAACTTTATTTTCTTACAACATCTGAACTGCCCATTTTAACGGAATAAATGAAAGCACAGATATATATAAACATATATTTGGCTCAGTGATGAAAGTTATAGCTGACTAAGTCATATTATTTTATTAATATCAATTCATTTTCACATTTTTATCTGTATTTTAAAAAAAATGAACATTGCTATATTTGGGTATGTTTGGGTATTTCGTGCTGCCGCTACAGACAAAAATATAACCTTTCACAATGTTTAAATGAATTTACAAGACAAAATGACAACAGACCAAAAAGATAATGCAGTGTTTATCTCTAGTTGCTTGTCCCAACACAGAGCAACAGATAAGCTTTAAAAGTGAATTGGGTATTACTCCATCATTTCCTTTGGAATTGGGTATTGGCTCCATTTAATTGGGTATTCCAAAACTCGATACCCTATGATTTCAAGATCAATTGGGTATTCAATTATGAAGTTATGAAGTTTATGGTTTCAATAACAATACAATTAAGATCTTAACTGTTTTAAAAAGAAAATAGGATTAACAATTTACTAGAACTTTTCACAATTGTTTTATTTTTTATATAAAATGCTCATGTTATATTTCATAATATTTTTAACAAGTTCATTTTCTGACTCATTTTTGATTATTTATGACTGTTTTGTTTCAAATCATTTTCCCTTTTGTACGACGCCATATTGCTTTGATACAGCTGGGACCTACTTATTGACGGTCTCCGCAAAATCAACGGTCTCTGCCGGTCTCTCGGACCGTCAACCTGAGTAGACAAATCGACGGTCTCATGCTTTATTGATATGGCTTAGTCGGTCTTTGGAAACAGGGGACCGTCGAAGACCGGAGACCGTTGATTAGTTAGCATTGACTCGGGAATATTCGGATATCATGCATATCGATATAATTTGTCCAAAACTATGAGTGTACGACTGATTAATTTTTCGTTGATGAAAATGACAATACGCACAGGTTTTTAAAACAATTGCGTATTTTATTTTTTTTAATGGATTTTGATACGCATTCTTAAAAAATCAGTTGCGTATTTTATAAAATTAATTGCGTAAATACGCACCTTATCTGTTGCTCTGCCAACATATCATGTCCAAGCTTATTCATATCCTTTTTTTAAGGAATGGCTTTTAACTTTGATTTGCTTACTTTTTGATTTGCTTAATTTGACAATTGTGATAATTCAATTATTGCATAATTGGCCGAGATGTTAATATCATTCAAATATTAATAATATAAATTACATTGGTACTTTTTGAATTTTGCTGAGGGACAAGTTTCTACGATTTTGAATCATTCTTTAATTCAACTATGATAGTCCGATAACTATTACAGTTTGCTTTCTGAAATGTGCTGCAACATGTTTGCTATCATTATATCTTGCTCTGGTATCATGAAAATTCAATAAGAGAGAATGTGTTCTTACAAAGTTAAGTATCCAAGAGACTGTTTTCTTGCTGAATATATACATGTTTAAAAATGATAACAACTATAAAAGACGTTAAATGATGAAATATATTCGCTCATTCGCGGCCTACATGTTTGTTGACATTTTCCCGGAAATAGAAAATGCGCATGTGCAGTAAAGTACATAACGATTGAACACCACTATTTTTTTGTAATTTGGTGTTGGAAAGTACTACCTACATTCAACCAATATAACATAGTACATAGATTGGCAACACAGATAGCCATATGTTAGTTATAATTTTTACACGAATCTGTTTAACATATTAAGTTTGGGAACTGTTTATAAAAATGTAAGTTAAATGCAAATATTTACATACAGTTCTACACTACAGGACAGTTAATTAGTTCAAGGATAGTTTGTGCGAATTTTCAAGCTATTCAATGTGTCAAGCCTCTTAGTAAAGATTATTTGTTGTTAGGGCAATTCTGTACGGCAAAGATGTTTGGTATACAGCATATTTAGAATAAATAAGAACATAGAATTTATTATGTCATTCAAGAAGGTATTAATATCGTATTGATAAGTTTTTCGATATCAAGTACATTTATAGTTCAGATTTCTTGTCTATATGAGGTGTTTTTAATGGGATAAAAATAGATAAAAATAATACAAAAATGTGCAAGTAAGTATTGATGTTTTGCAATTTTCAAGGGTATTTCAGTTTAACTCAGATGTCACTTTGGAAAAGCTTCTAGTCTTGGATAGTCATGTATTTTATAGAATCATTTAAGACATTTCTAGCAACAGATCTTAATTGGACGTGTTCTGCTTTTTAGACAGAACATATTTGCCACGGATGCCAAACTATTGTGTAGTATATTCTACCTGGGGTCTTGCTTGTATATGTCTTATAGTGTTTTTAGACATATTATTATTATTTATTTTATTATTTTTTACGTTTTTTACATATACATTTCAGGCTTTTTTTCTTCAGCTGTTCTGTTGTTGATAAGCTCGGTATTGCCTAACGGTTACCCTATGTACTTTGCTTCTTAGGATGATTTTAACCAAATACTTAAAACGACAAAAGATAAAAGGAAATATTCTAGATTTATTCTAGATTTATTCTAGATTTATTTTTCTAGTTATTTTGAAGACTTCACATTAACCCATGGTCCAAGCTTCTTCCATAATTCTAGTGAGTTTATCTCTTCCTGTAGGGTTAAGGCATCTTGTGTGGATTTGATGGTGACGTAGACAACAGTATATCATCTGCGAATAGCTAAGCCTTACCGTTGACAATAGAAAGTAATTTATATAGGAAATGAAACGGAAAGGTCCTACCACTAAGCCTTGGGGACACCAGAAAGGAAGGACTGGTTATATGTCTGATTTCTGACCTTCTACAACAGCTTGTTGTTTTAAACACAGGCAGTTGATTGGAGGTTTGGCTCACAGTATTGTGGGTAAAAGCGCTTCCCATCTCAGAATGTTCAAATAGATCAACAACGAATGAAAATACAAATTTTTTATGGTGTATTGAACTCTTTAAAAATGTGTACATAATTTGAGCTAATAAGATAGTGATATGATATCGAGGATTACAAGCTCTTCCTTTGATTATGACAAGGATGCGAGGAATAAAGGCAATGAGCTCGGCAGGGCACCGAACAAAAATAAATCCATCAATATGTATCAATGTAAGGTGGTCAAGGAATTCATCTTCGTTTCGTTATCCTTAAAGTTTATCGCATATCAATTATATGAAGGTGACTGCTCGTACCTAAATTACTGTTTGAAATTATTTTTGTTCAATAGAATTATAGTATTTAAATTGAATCATACAGAATTATGTTAAATAAATTGACCGCCAGAAAAATGATATGCGGTGGATGATTTAGTAGATGATCATGGATTATATAATTCCATGAAGTAGTTAATATTCGCTTTCTGCTTCTGTTAACACAAATAAGAATAAAACATAAAAAAAGTCACTTATTAGTGTTTTCTTATTCTTTTTATATTCGTATGAGCACGTTTAAATAATTACGTTATATGGTACGAGTCATTCGATGTGAAGACGTTTTTAAACCATATATAGAACTATTGTCCAATCTTTTCTCCAAACTATTTTTGGGAAAATAACAAAAATAAGATAATGTATTTTGATATGCTTTTAAGATGTCTCAACACATTTATGACATGCGAGCACACTCAGGAGGTTACTGTGTAGCAAATTTTCATTGTCCTGTTTATAGATGGCGAAGCTGTTTATTCCTTTAGTTTATCTAAAGGTAAGTCTGAAATTCAATCATCAATTTATGAGAGTCATTTTATCATTTTGCATATTTGATCTATAGGTATCTATTTGTTATCATAAATAATTGGTCTATAACATGGAGTTCAAGTGATGGAACGAACAAAAAGAAAACGCATACAAACACTACTCTTATTTTAATTAACATTATTCATACATTTTTGTATTTTATCAAATCCATAATGTGACTAAACTTAGCTAGCCTTCTTCGGCACTTTCCTTAATCTATTTATATTAAATATATTTGTTATTGCCCATGATCAAGGTCACATGCAGAATTTTAACAACCTGTTGTGACATGACAAATATCAATGCAGGTCCTAGTATACAAAAACTGAAAAAATAAATATTACATAAATAAAGCATTTAAACAGTAGACTATAACAGGACTTTTTTTTATAGCCGAGTAAATTCGTTTAAACCCAAATTATCTGACACTCTTCGTATTGTTTTAAGTATTAACAAACAGCGTCCTCGTTGAAAGTTGTTTCCCTTACTGCCTCATCGTTTTGGTTTTATTTTCCACTTTTCAATTCTATTTTTATTGCTCATGAGAGATAATCCTTGACAAAGACTTTTTTTATTATTGCCAAAAATGAATGTATACAAATTTCATAAATAAAACAAATTCAGTTCAATTCAGGTCGTTCTTGTGATGAAAAGAAATGATTTGAAATCATATTCTGGCTAAACACTTATAAGTTAGGCTACACTAAATGTAGATCTAAATAAAATCTATTTAAACCAGGCCTCACCATATTCCACTATTGATTATAAACGACAAATATTTATAGTCAATAAACTGTTAGTCATCGATAAAATTCTATATCTAATATAATTTCTAGATTACAATGTACTGACTTATCCTGCACCTGGCACATATCAAAACAAGTGACCGGTACACGATTAGATTTAAAGTCTAAGCACTTTGTATAGACAACACATTACAAAACTATACATGTTTTTGATTTTGGCTCGTTTGGGTCAGAAGAAGGTCCATCTTTACCTGAAAATAGAAACCAAATAATGTCTTGCGGGAAGTATATTTTACTAAGTGTTTTAGACAAGCACCAATCTTTGAAATTGGAAATAATAGTTTAACATTTTTTACTTATTCCGGGACTTTGTTTGAATATTCATAATATAGATGAAAGAACTCAGATATGTTGACCTTATTATAATAATGATCTGCTAAATTGCAATCTTATACCATCTTTTGTTATTTTCATTGATGATGATGATTTTTTGTTTGAATTTTGGTCATCCTTTTTGTCAGTTGTTTCCTTTGATTTGTCAGTTGTTTCCTTTGATTTGTCAGTTGTTTCCTTTGATATTGCGCCATTTCTTTCATCAGCTACGGATTGAAAGTTAAAACCCAAAATTAAGTTTTTCAACAGCATATGGACGAATTAAACGAAATGTGTCAATTCACAGCATAATTAAATTACCAAAGCTGTCATTGCAGCTTTCTTTATCAAATGGCGCTCTGAGTCACGCATATGAAAAAACATGCAATAGCAACGTTTGCTCGTATGTTTATCCGCAAATGTATGTTTTCTTTTCGGTTAATGAATAGCTGAGTGAGCAGATTTTATGCCAGATTATTCCTTTGTAAATGTTGTATGTATTGTTAATAAATAAAATTAAGAAAGAAGTAATAAAAGCTTTAGAGTCGGATTCGACATACCGGCTGACATTGCAATGTTATCTTCCACTGTCGTCTCAGATACAGATGAGTTAATGTCTGAATTGTCATTTGTCTGCTCGACTATTGTATCTGGTAGATTTTCATTTTTCTCACCGTCTACAAATTAATAAAAATACATAAATATTGAGAATTAAAACAATTTTGCTTTCAGTATAGATTTATACAGGTGTCTCTATCTGTATGTCTCTTACAAGGTATTCTGTAGAACTATATGTATAGATTATTTTTCATAAAATAATAAGACACTTTTTAAAATAAAAAATAATTCTTTAAACTTACCGGCTGATATTTCAAGGGTATCTTCTAAAGTTGCCTTAGATACAAATGAGTTAATGTTTGTATTTTCATTTGTCTGTTCGACTGTTGTATCTGATATTTTATCATTTTCTTCATCATCTTCAAATGAAAAAGAACATAAAAATAAGGATAGTCAAAACAATTTTTGTATTTAATATAAATTTGACGTATACTTTATCATTAAGTGTCTAATTACTATTGTTTTTAACCATCTTTTTATCATTGAACAACAGTAATAATGTCTGTCTTTATATATCCAACAAAACTGCATGTGAATTTTATTACTTGGCCAGTTTTTAATAAAATAATGATCAAAAAGTTCTAAATTATTATATACATAGATAAATACAATAAGTATAATGAGTATCCTAAGAATCATCGGTGTATCTAGGAATGTTACCTTCCCCAATCGCCTTAGATGATGTGATATTTCCATCTGTTCTTTCGACCGTGTTATCGTTGAGTTCTTCACTGATATTTTCTTTGGCTGTAGATTAGAGGTTAAGGCATTAAAGTTAAACGCTTTTTATAGCATGTGTAATTTGATATTGTATGTTAGATGAGGTTAAATATCATTAACTACAAATGATATGGCAATATATTTCCTCTGTCAACGACTTTTGAAACAGATGATTAGATGTCTTAATGTTGGACTTATCGGCACAACCAGATTCATAAGTTTGTTTAAGCACAATTGTGTTGAATGTTGTGTATAACTGTTACCGTGTTTGAAACAAGCATAATGCTATATATTTGTTAACAAAAAAGTAGATGTAAATGCCGGTTTACAGGTGGACATTGCAATGTCATCTTTCACAGTCATCTCAGGAAAAGATGATTTACTGTTTGTATTGTCATTTGTCTGTTTGACAATTGTTTCTGGTAGATTGTCATTTTTCACGTTATCTTTAAATAAAAAAGAACTACATAAAAGTAACATAATTGAAACAATTAGTTTATTCATTTGATCTGATGTAAAGTACGTCATTAAGTAAAATACCATTTTTGACAATCCCTTTAAAATTTAACACCAATAATATCTATCTCCATGTTTCCTACAGAACACCATGTGAATTTTATTACTCGACCAGCTTTTGAATATTCGCTGGTATACTAGAAACAGATAAACTAATAATCAAAGAAAAATAAACATCTAAAACATATGAAGTTGCAACGTGGGTAAGATAAGAATTCTTAAAATCATTATTGTATTTGGCAATGTTGATATTGTAATGTAACTACGTGTACCGTTCTCAATCGTCTCAGATGAGTTGATATTTATATTTCCAGCTGTTCTTTCGACCATACTATCGCTGACTTCTTCACTGGTATTTTCATCGGCTGCATATTAGAGATTAAGACAAAATGGTTGAAAGCTTCATTACTAATCTGAAATTGTAACTTAATTGAATACTATAACTGATATGACACAATTTTCCCTTTCAATGATTAATATAGATGGTTATATGTCTATATATTTATGTATTTTCAAACATTGCAATAAAGTTATTCCTTTGCAAGTTTTGGACTTATTGGTACAATCAGATTCATAAGTGTGTTAAGCATCATCGTGTAGAATGTTGTGTTTAATTGTTACCGTGTTTATAACAAGCATAATTCTATATATGTGTTAAAAATAAGAAATGGTTTTAAAGTATATGTACACGTAGAAGTAAACTTACCGGCGGATATTGCTATGTTATCTTTCATAGCCTCCTCTGGAACAGATGAATTTGTATTTTCATTTGTCTGTTCGACTGTTGTATCTGGTAGATTGTCACTGTTCTCATCATCTACATATTTGAAGGAAGTACACAAAATTAATATACAAATGTAGTTAAAACAATTGTTTTCATTCAGTATAAATTTGATGTATAGTATATCATTAAGTAAACCTTCTATTTTTTTATTGAATAGCAATAATATCTATCTTTATGTTTCCTATAAAACAGCATGAGAATTATTTTACTGGACAAGCTTTTGAATATTCGCTTCACGATTGTATAACTGATAAACCAAAAATCAAAGAAGTTCTTAACTTCTAAGACATATAAACATAAATGAATATAATGAAATCAGAAGTTATAACGTAGGAAAAAAAGAATCCTAAAAATCATCGGTGTATTTGGCAATGCTAAAACGGTAATGTTACTAACCTTCCTCAAAAGTCTCATATGTTTTGATATTCGTATTTCCATCTGTTCTTTCGGCTGTGTTATCGCTGAGTTCTTCCATGCTGTTTTCATCGTCTGCAGATTAGAGATTAAGACATTTACGTTTAACGCTTTTTAACTGATCTGAAAATGTTATATAATTATCTTTGAATATAAATGATACGATAATATTACCTCTTTCAATCACTTTTATGCAGAAGGTTAAATATATGTATTTATTATATACTTATAAATGAAATATTGAGAAATATTGATGAAATAAAATGCTTATTTTCATTTTCCGTATTTTCACTCTAAAAATTTATTTTTCACTGCAGTGAAACATATTTTCCGTATTTTCACTGGTGTCTTGCCGGACTACTTTCTTTTAAATTCTGCCAGTACACAAAATTTAAGGGAAAGTCTTTCAAATTTTAATGTCAAAAAAGAGAAAAATGTATATAATAAACAGAAAATTCAAGTTTTTTCTATAAATACATGATTTATTTTCATCTTGTGGCATGAAAATAACCATATTTCACTCGTGGCTACCGCCACTCATGAAATATTTATTTTCATACCACTCGATGAAGATAAATCATGTATTTATAGAAAAAACTTGAATATCCTCTATTTATTACCCTTCCAGATTTTTTCCGCCTTTTTGATTGGATATTGATCACCCGAAAGAAATTGATATAACCGAGCCAGACGGGTAATATCACACACTAAATTTCCCCGTTGGGTACCCAACGTTGTAAACAACATGCGCTGAGGTGATGCGCGTACGGTTCGATTTTACTCGGTGTAAATTCCGATTTACAAGCACTTTTTAACTGTCAAATGATAAATATTTACCAAAGTAGAATAATGATACATATTACCATCAGTATTGAAAACAAATATGACCTTGTGAAAGCTTGATATTAATTACAAAAAAGTGCTCCTTTTCTCTTGTTTACATTCGTCAGGTGCGGGAAAAATACGTCATGTATTTATGTGACGTCATGTTGTGACGAAGAGATACCCAGAGGGAATCTTATTTCGACGTTTCATTTGAAACGGCAATGATTTTTTAAAAAATCGTCTAAACTCGGCAGGGGAAGGGTAATAAAATTATTATTTTGGTTTTGGAGTGATATATGTGGATATATTACCTGCCAAGATAAAATATCACCCTCGCCTAACGGCTCGGGTGATATAAAATCTTAGCAGGTAATATATCCACATATATCACTCCAAAACCAAAATAACATATAATCTTTGTTTTTTAAAGCATTATAATGTTGGACTTACTGGTACAATCAGATTCATGAGTCTGTTTTAGCATCATTGTGTTGAATGTTGTGTTGAACTTATTTTTACCGTGTTTATAGGTTTATAACAAAGTAGTTATAGGTTTATAGCAAAGTAGAAGGGAATTATGCTTTCGACTTACCTGCGGATATTGCAATGATATGCTTCATAGTTGCCCCAGGAACAAATGAATTTATGTTTGTATTTTCATTTGCCTGTTCGGCTGTTGTATCTGCTAGATTGTCATTGTTTTCATCATCTGCAAATAAAAAAAATACATAAAGATTAAGATAGTTAAAACATTTTCCTTTGTATTCAGTATAGATTTGATGTACATGCATATAAAATATCATTAGCCTTCTAACTACTATGTTTCCTACAAAACTGCACGGGAATGTTATTACTGGACCAGTTTTCTTTTACAATTTGCGTCATTATAGTGTTGCTGAATTTCTAAAACATATATATGAAACAATAACATTGAAATAATAACAAAGGTATCTTAATTATTCATCGATGTATTGGCAATGTTATAACGGTAATTTTACAATACGCACCTTCTTCAAAAGTGTTGGATGATTTGATATTTATATTTCCGATTGTCCTTTCCTTTTTATTGAGTTCTTCCATGCTTTTTTCGTCGGCTGCAGCTTAGAGATTAAGACATTAAAGTTGAAAGCTTTTTGACAAAACTTAAATTGTAACTTAATATTAAATATATCTTTAGCTATAAATGATATAACAATATTACCTCTTTCAATGATTTTAACACAGATGGTCTATACCTCTTTCTATACATCGTATTTCGAAGCATGAAAAAATGATATTATCCATCAATAAATGTTGGACTTATTGTTATAATCAGATATTTTAGACCCGTGTACAATGTTGTGTAAAATTGTTACTTGAAAATAAGAAAAGGTTTAAAAGTTGGAATAAATGCCTTCGACTTACCGTCTGTTATTTCAATGTTATCATTTACAGTCTCTTCAGAAACAGATGATTTAATGCTAGTATTTTCATTTGTCTGTTCGACTGTTGTATCTTGTACATCATCAAAATTCTCGTCATCTACTACTAACAAAGAAGAACATGAAAATTAAGATAGTTAAATAATTTGTTTTCAGTTAACATTTGACTTATAGTATATCAATAAGTGTCTAATTGCTATCGATTACCTTTGAATACTAATAATGTCTTATTATATGTTTCCTTCAGATGCATATCAATTTTATTACTGAAATAGCTTTTGATAATTTGCTTTACGATGTTTTTACTGATAAAATAATGATCAAAGAATCTAAATTATATGGACATAAATTAATCCAATAAAATCAGAAATTACAACGTAGGTAAAGTTGGTATGCTTAAAATCATTGGTGTATTTGGCAATGTTAAAATTGAGATGTTACTACATGTACCTTCCTCAAAAGTCTCGGGTACTGATGATATGATATTTGTATTTCCATCTGTTCTTTTGACCATGTTTTCATTGTCTATAGATTAGATATTAACATATTCAAGTCGAATGCTGTTTTATAACTAGTCTTAAATTAAAGATTATTAACAGTTAAATAAGTTAAATAGCTTTAACTATAAATGATAGGGCAATGTTAATCTTTCAATATCTTTTGATGCAGATGGTTAAATGTCTTTACATGTATATCTCCGTATCTTAAAGCATGTGCAATAATGTTATCTCTTTCAATATGTTTGATTAATGGGTACAGTCAGACACTTTCGACTCTTTAAGCATCGCCATGTTGAATGTTGTGTGTAATTGTTACCGTATTTTTTTTTTAATCCTTATGTAGAATTAAAAGTAAATGCATTTGACTTACCGGTGGCTTGTGCAAGGTTATCTTTCACAGCCGCCCAAGAAATAGATGAATTTGTTTTTTCATTTGTTTGTTCGACTGTATCTAGTATATTGCCATTGTTTTCGTCATCTACAAATAAACAAGAAGAACATAAATTAAGATAGTTTCAGTATTAATTTGAAGTATTTATCATCAAGATTGGTGTCTACCTACTATTGTTTTGACAATACTTGTATCATTGATGAACAACAATGTCTATCGATATGTTACAAATAGGGCTGCATATGAACTTTAATTATAACTAAAACTAGTGTTTGATAATTTGCTTCACGATAGTATTATGGAACAAGGAAATTCTAATTTGTCATCAAGCATATACAAAATGCAATTTTAGAATACTATTACAAGTGAATACAATGTTTTTCGTGCCTAGAAACTCCAGTCTTCAACAATCGAATGTGAATTATATGGTATTTATGTGCACTTCGGTTATTCCAAAAGAAAATGGTTGATCTAATTTGTACAAAAACACAAATAGAGTTGTTCATCATGATGAAACATCTACCACATTTTCTTAGCAATCTAAAATGGCTACGTACATGGAGGTCAACAGCTTCTTACCTATCGGCTGATATTGTAAGGTTACTTTCTTAATCAAACTTACCAGATACAGATGATTTGATACATGTCTGTTCATCTGTACTTTCGAAAGCGTTATTGTCATGTTCTTTTGTGCTGTTTTTATCTGCTACGGATTAGAGATTGAAACATAAAAGTTTAACGCTGTTTAACAATTCTGAATATAAAACTTAGATAAAGTTGAATATCTTTGATACGATGATGATACGATAATGTTACCTCTTTCAGTGACTTTTGATACAGATTGTTTAATGTTCATATCTTGGTATGTTTTTGTTTGTTAATTTAATAATAAATATATATTTATTATGGTGTGCCATTATATTATGCCTTAGGAAATTTACTTTGAATTCATCGATCTATTCGATGGAACTCCTGGTTTGTATTGTTTGTACAAGTTATGTTGTTTTCTCTTTTATAAGTTTCTCTCTTGTTTCACCTGGTGCACGTTTGTCAATTCATTTGTTGTATTTATATATATATTGATCTCTCGTACTTACATAACTTTTTCAATGTTTCTATCTCTGCTTCAATGTCCTTTATCCTTGCAGCAAGGGCATTTTTCTTTTGATGACATTCTTGCAATTTCAGTTGAAGTGACAATTCCTTTTTTCTTTTCTTAATCTTCAGTCCTATTTCTTCTATTAAATATATGAAGAAAAATCGAAGGATAAAGTTTACTGTAGCTTTCGTTGAAATTGCTTCGATACTAGTATTATAAACAAGCTGAATGCAACCTACAGCAACCATAAATGTTACTCACTGAAGCATCTGAAACTTACTTTTTACTATTAGCTATTCTAGAGAGTCTAGTTGAATTAACATGAAACATCGGTTTTAAAATGTCTGTACTTTGATTATTATAAACATTAAGTTTTGTCCTGAACTTTGGACTTTAGTAAAGGAGATCAATAAAATTAATGATTACATGTGTTTGAAACAATAAAAATCTTAAATGAAAGTTTGATTTTAATATTTTCTATCAGAATCGTTTTGTTTTGTTATTGTCTTTTTCTCAGAAAGTATAAAAAAGATTCATTACTTTCTTCTTCTGTAAGGTTTGTTGAAAGTAGATAGTTAATTATTTCTTTAGCGTTTCCGCCTGTTTGCTTGTCTTTAGCTAAAATTGACAAGGCATATTCCCCTTCTTTTTGTATTCCAGCTGACACATAAAGCTTGCCATGAACCTCGTCTACACGTGTTTTTGTGACAGCTACAGTTAAATGGTAAAATGGTAAAAAATGTAATGTAAAGTCATCTTGAAATGCTGTTATAATTTATTTTTTAATGTAATAAGCTACTCGAAAGTAAGTATAGACATTAAGTTTTGGACCGCCTTCCACAACCCCCGATTTGCTTAGTACTTCTTCACTTCCTTAACATTCTGAGAGTATTATTTCATTTGATACTTTTCAATCAATATTTATAAATATGTATTTCAGCAGTATATTATTAATAAGTACTGTATGTGTAGCAATATTCGCGGGCTTCAAATTTTCGCGCTTTTCGCGGTGACATGCGATCCGCTAATTCATGTTTAGCGCGAATATTTCAAGCTAAATTATTTTATAGTATTCATATTCTATAATGTATATCAGTGTGTTATATGCGTTCAATACATTCGATTTTATTAAAATAATATAAGTATATATGAATATCAAAAATGTTGATAAAAATTATTTGACCCTAAAGATATAAATTTTACTTATCATTTCTTATAAGATTTTACCGTTTTCATCATTTTCTCCTCCAACAATCTTAGAGAGAAATTCTATTTCTTCAACCTTGTCAGTGTCTATTTGAAATGTCAGCAACTCAGGTGTATCAAAATCACTCTGGGTGCATGCAACAGGAACGTTTGGCAAATACGTGGATGGATTTTTCAGACCATATTCGACAGCCGTGTATCCGAAACCATAACCAGTACAGCCTGCGTCAAATGGGATTTTTTTGCAATTTGGATCGGGTTCCAAGCAGATGATCTTAAAGGTAGCGAACAAAAAATACAATTCTTCTGCATCAGGAGATGAAACGAAAGTTTCAAAAATATATTCTGCTGCCACAGGAAAACGTATATTAAAGGAAAACGTGTCAATGCCGGGAGCATAAACAACCAACAAAGGTAAATCATCTGCATTAATCTCTTCCAAGTTAACTGTATCTTTCTTCAGAGAAAGGTGGTACAACATTGATATGTTTCGTGAATCAGCTTTGTTTGCGCCAAACGAAATAGTACATTTGCCATTTTTAGAATGCAGTAATCCAGTATATTCACTTAACAACTGAAGATTAGCAATGAAATATGTCTGTGTAAAGTGTGGTAATGCAAGGAATTCTTCCTTACTTATGTGCTTCTCGGGTGGAAGAAGTTGCCATTCGGGATCATCAGGAAGAGAATAGATGATAAATATACTTGGGTCTAGACAAAACCATAAGTCGTTGACGTGAATTTCACATACTCCTTCTGAACCCTCTCGCTCTTCGAATACTGTTTCTCCTTTATTTTCTAACAGTATTTCACCTCCTCTTGAGTATCCTTTAGTGGTAAAGATTCCTCTACAAATATCTACAATGTGCCAGCGTTCGTTTGACCTGAATATGGTCCAACGTGTGCGAAGTATACCTGTGTCATCTTCTGTATGACCAGGTAAATAATGCATATTTTTTGTAATACCCTCCACGAGTTGATACTGAATATTGCCCGATCTAGAACGATATAATGGTAACTATTGCCACTACTACACTACTACTTTTAGTACAAAAAGAATTTAATGAACATAGGTTGAACTAATTTTACCTTCATCAAAACATATTCGCTTATGTGCAATTTATACTCAACAGCTGTCTTCTTCTATTTTGGAAATAGTTTTTATAGGTCAAAAAGTGCAAACAAGATTATTTCGTAATTACTTAGATTTAATAACAAGGAAATATTCTCGAAATTATAACACAGTGAATTCTATCTCGTTCTCATAAGACAATAACGTTGTATTATAGAGATAAGTATCTCGTTATAAAAACTAAGAAATGCCGTATAATCATATTTTTCTACTGCGTGACTAACGAATTAAGGACTTTTTTTTACATATTGTGACTCATGTAAATGATGTCTGCAATGTGTCAATTATTCTTTTAGTTTACTTAACTATATTTTACTTTTCAATACATTTTCGGAATTATAAAGAATACTAGTATGAATCTGGAGCAATGGTACTAAGAGATCTCTAATCTATTGTTAATACGAGACAACTGTCTTTTAAGTATGTCGTATTTACGATAGGGAACTCTGTATTACATTTATTAACGAAACACTGACTTGAGGTCGTAATGTGAATTTCATTTTTTATCCATTCTATTAAATCACTTGTACCTAAAACTCCTAAATAATTAAGAGCTGTTTGTGCCCAAAAGTAAGAAACTCTGATTTGGAGAAGCTATTGAACTTTCATTTTCAGAATACCTTTTCTTTTTAATGTAATTTGTCTGCTGCAAGTCAACTCGATGATAAGCAATTAGCATATTGCCAGTTATAAAGTTGACCATAAATCTATCTACCTGTCTTTGGTGCATGGGCATTTCGTACTTTTATTGTCTTGCTACCAGTTTAAATAATTCAATAATTCATTTCATATGTGTTTTATTACGACTTTCTTCACGCAAAAGTCCTAAAAGTAATTGATTTATCGGTAGTTTGATTTAAAGATGCATTCACTTTTGATGTTGTAAATTGATTAGTTGTCTTCTTGTTACATGCAATTAGCATTGATATTTTGCACGATCATTTATATTGTTTTATTTTTCAAAAATAATGATAATTTAATACTTGTGAAAAGGAAGATTAGATAGTGTTACATTTTACTGTGGATTGACAAAAGTCCTTAAGTCTAATTTTATACACTATGTAAAATAAAGTGTTAATGTTTCCGACGATAAAATGTGCTTGGTCATTTTAATGACCTTTGTAGTATTTTAACATAGGAATATCCTTCAAATGTTTTTTTCTTGTTACTGTTACGAATATCATCAAATTTTATAAATTTTGAGAAAGCTGTCAATTTTGATAAATGAACAATGTTTAATTGTAAAGAATATTACAGTGGATCATTTACTCCATGACATCATTTATAACATCAAAATTGGGACTTCAATATAAGTAGGTGATTTTTTTCTCTTTTAAGGTTCTACTTCTGCTGGTGTTTTATTCTGCATAGTATAGTTTTAAGTATACACAATGATTTGTTTGTTACCGAAATAAGTATATCAAAAATCTTACTCGCATAGCAAAGCAAATGCTTCTATAACCCCGTGTGAAAAAATGGAACTTATTTCTTCTGGTAAATCTTCTACTTCATCATTGGCTTTCACATTAGCTATCCATACAAAGAAAGCACGAGCGAGGAATAATTCACGATTTTCGTCTTTGATAACTGGTTCTTCAAAATATTTGATAAGGGATGCCATTGAGGTCATATGGCACGGCTGTATCTAATCAAAGAAAAATAAGAAAATATGATAATATTTTTTTCTAAATATTTTGAATAATGTATATTAATATCGGAATTAGAGAATATCATTTTCCTGCAATCACACCGACACTGTAACTGTTATTTGACGATTGAATTAACCAATTTATCATTATTTTGTAATGAGAATATCATTATATAGATAAACTGGAAAATCTAAACTACGCCACACACATTAAAGAGACTGCACTGAGATTTTTTGACATGATAGGACTGAAAATATTTTTTTTCCTGATAAATGTACCATTTGATGTAGGTTTAGACCATGTCATGCTCGATTTAATTGTTCCTGTTCTCAGACGGTAAATGTGAATGTTAGCTACCGTCTACGACACAAGCACCTATTTAAGCAGAACTCAACAAAACTCAACATTCACACTAGTGATTAATTTAGAATTTAGAAACATCAGCAAATAATTTCATACTATGTCGCGGAACCTTCAATGTTACATTTTGATCTATACCACCTAAAATTAAGAATAAAACCTTTTTGGGAAATAAGATAATATCTTAAATGAGTCTTTAAACAGTATTCATGTAGATATACTGGAATAAACTAAAACTAAAAAGTTAACATTGATGGAACAAAAACATAAGCACAATTATGTATGCATCTGAACACTGATAGGCCTTTATCCGAAAATACATGTGTGAATCCGGCACTATTCATATCCATTATTATTGATATTTGACATGTATTGCGGTTTGGATAGGAATAACTATTCCGAAGGTACCTAATTGGTACATCGTAGTATTGTCTCCTAATATACTGTCAGCATAAATGTATAAATATTTTTGTACATGTAACGTTAACAATCCATTTTGTGTAGACATACAATAAGTTTTTCTGTTTTAAAGACAGGAAAAGAGATACTTTGAAACAAAACTGGTACCAATGATTACAGGCATGTGAAACACTGGATGTATACAAACATTTATTTATTTATTTATTCATACAGAAAATAATGTGTTTATTGTTTGTTCTTTATTTAATCACTTTACTAATACGTGTGTGTATATGTGTAAAATATGTAAAATGTTATGTATGCCATAAAACCACTCCGTTTACGTCAATAAATGATATGTATATCTGTCTGCATGTATGTCTGTCTTTCGTAATAAGTTAAATAAGCTTACCGACTTATGATTTACCCGAGTAACGTATTTACCTATTCGAACCGCAAACAATTGTCAGCTTTTTACTTGTATATTTTTCATTTTTTCAAATGGTTTACCTCAATCAATTAAATTTTATGGCAATTGATTAGTTTCATATAACTGTTAGATGTATGTTGGCCGGTAGCATCCATTTTACAGCTGAAAGAAATTTGACCGTCAGTTTAAACATCGAAAGTGTATAAAATGTCGATTTACGAAGGAAACCGCGAGATTTTCTATCTACATAGTAAACTAAGCACCCACCCAAACATATGCCTACTTTGGGTAGCCGATTGTGGCCATTATAATACTCGATATTTTGTTTTGGATGTATACCTTATAAAAAGTCGAGTTTCAGCGGGTCGCGGCCTATATGTTTCTTCTCCTCGACTTTAGTAGAATTCCTAAAACACTTGCAAAAAAAATGTAACAGATTTCTTTCTGTTCCTCGCCTTTTTTGACAAACGAATAATAAAATATAGTCAAATTATGGACGCAACCGGCCACTAAAGTCAAACTTTACCTCGCTGTTTCCAACAACTGAATTATAAAATGTCGAGATTTATACGTGCCCCGCGACATTTTGTGCGATTTCAGCGGGTTTGTAAGTTGCCCGGGATATTCTATGATAAAACGATAACATTTCCCGCGGATTTGAAATGGCCGCAATCAGCCATCATAAAGATCAGTCTGATATGTAAAAACAAAATCGTTTTTTATCAATAAGTATTTAAAAAGTACATAACATTTATTATTTTGTGTAATAATTAAAAAAAAAACATAATAACAAATCTTGTAATTTCTCATACCTATTAACTACATTTAACAATTTAACAGTCAGAACAATTTATTATAAATGTTAGATCGTGTGATCTCCTCCTTTTTCGTATTCTCTGTGAAATACTTCGACCTTCAGAATTGTTTATTTTAAAGTATGTAATTCCCTAGCTCAGATGTCTATGCCCGTGACTAATTGTATTCTGTACCGAATAACATGTAATTTATCTTGTATTAAATTTGTATGCAAATAAAACTTAAAACTTGAAACGGTAACAATTACAAACGAAGACCTTCAATGAAGCACAGAAAAGTTAAAAACTACTTATAATTACTTATCATTTGGTTTCAAAAAGGTTATAATATTTTTGCCCTTGAAATGAAGTGATTAGTGTGTTTTTCTTTCCTTCTCAATCATCGACACACACATTGAATTTGACTATAAAAAGTATTTACTATATCACCGAAATGGTTAACATATATATCAGGTATCAGATTTTGTAACATTCTAAAGTGATATAAATGATATCGTTTTTAACATTTTATCTTCATTTTTGTGTTTATTAAACTTAATGTTTCATCTGAAGTTTCTTCTCCATACTGTTTTAGCGACTGTCTGTAGATAAAATAGATAGAATCAGAAGGTCCAGTCGCCTTTTGTATTCATTTAAAAGATTTAGCATCTAATTAATTAGTTTTAAAGAAAATGTGGAGTTATAAAATGAGACCAGTCATGTAATTTTGATCAAGAACCATGAAGGTGATAGGAACAATACGCAATGGAACATTCCAAAAATGAGGTTCACTTCAAACATTTGCAACAATTAAGAAAGAACGACCAATTTTTGTGATACTGAACTTCTCATTTAACGACAGATTTTACTACACTCATTATTTGACAGATTATTAATTCAAACCCAGGTTACCTTGGAGACGTAATCATCGTAGTTTTGAAAATGTACTTTCTCCTCATCATATGTATGTATCTTCACCATCCTTTAAAACAATGGACCGACATACACGGCAGTAGTTGGTATACGCACGTCAATGAAAATTATAATCCAGATATTATAATATTAATTTATCAAATTAGTTATTAATTGTTATTATTAATGAAATTAAATTCACTTATTTTATGTAATTATTTTCAAAATTCATTAGTTAACTTTCCAAGTTTATCCTTGAGTCCATAAGATTAAAATGCTTTCAACGTCTAGGAATACATTCCTAAACAAATTAACATTTATCCCACTAAATGATTGTCTCACACTTTTGGTGTTCTCTATAAAATGTTTCAACTTCGTCGATAACTTTTGTGTATATCGTTATGTTCAATAATTTGATCAAAGTCATGCTCTAATAACAATGAAAATTGATTACCAAATACTGGAACCATTGTATGATAAGATTATAACCATGTTAAAAATACAAAAATTGGACGTAAAAAATCCACGAATCTACAAATCTGATAAAGCTCTCGATAGATGATTTATCATTATAAGAAGTGCTTGCAGACTATAGTGTTAATGTAATTTTTAAAAGACTGCTAATGAAAAACTTTGCATTATTGCAGACGATTAACTGCTTAATATCAATTGAAAAATGTGTTCTAAGTTCTTCAGGATTCAAATGATTAGTGATTCATGATATGCTTCATGTAAACTATAATGAAATGCAAGAGTGCATGTATATTATTATTTTGTACCATGACCAATTGCTCGATGCTAAATCTTGATTCTGAATTTGCGCCTCTGGTCATATTTATGTCATAAAGGCTATATTTTCTCGTATATTCAGCAGCTTGTATAACTTATGATATATATTCAATCCTCTAAACTTTGTCTAACATTTTTATTTCAATTGCATTTTAAACATATATTTCTTAAAAATTTTATTGTGGTGAAGTTTGGCCAGAAGAGCTGCATTATACTCGTGAAAGCAAGTATTTTACTACAGTCTATCCAAGAACACACACTAACATAAATAGGGATATTTCGACTCATTTTAATATCTAAAGCGTCATACGACGGTTTGGGATTTTCTTTGGTAATACTATGACTTTCTTTATTTTTGTGTCCTATTTTGAATCACCCGTATGCGCAGTAGACGTTTTATATACTATTTTTGAAAAGAATAAGCATCTGAATCTGTTCATAATGCTGCTTTACGCATACAGTGCCGAGTATAAACGAATGTATTTTTAAAATTATATTATTAGGCACATCCTTTGCTGGTACTATATGGCTCTATTCATAATACTTAGGTTTTTGGTAATCACATTTGTAACTCTTCGGCATTTTTAGCCATGTTTCGTAAACGCTTAAGACTCAAATGGTACAGTTGAGCGAATCGAAATAACACATAGTGATAAAAATCCTCGACAGTAAAAATACCAAAAGTACCAATGAATGAACATTCAGAATTAAATCTAAAATACTGTAGGCTATATATGTGTAATATTTCTACTTTAGGATTGTATGTTCGTAAGTAAGCTAGTACATTGTGACGCTCATATAATATTCATATTTTTCAGGCGACATCAAAACTTCAAGTTTGAAATGGTAAACATAAATCGTAAATAATGCTAACGGATTGATTTATGTATAAAGTTAAATAAGAACTATTATCAAAAAATATGTAGAGGTAAAATATCTATGAAAGCTGACCTTATATAAAATACTTCCCGGAATAATCCGAATTACATGACGATGTGTAAAACTAAACATCTGTTTTAAGCATCATACTATCCCTGTCAGAGAAAAACTGTTTAGACGAAGTTAATGGAAAAAAACAAATAGAAAGAATTTTTTCTGAATCGATATAGTATTTAAAAAAAATATTGGAGTATTGGAGAAACCAAACAGGGAAACCTTTTTTCTAAATGTAAATCGAAATCGATTTGCTATGTTCAGTTTTTTTCCCACGAAAGTCGATGTTTCTTTTATATACCAATACGGTGAACAATACGCATTTTATATTATTATATAACAGAAATAAGTGTGGCGTGTATGGGCTAAAACCGGAAAGTGGTAAGTGCAAAAATGAATAACGGAGATGGTGATGGTGTTGGTGAAAATACTTCCCGATGACGACAAATAATAAGATAGGGTATCACAGAAGATTTTTATCATTAGCAAAATTGAAACATACATAAATTGTATACATGTGTTAGTATACGTTAAGAATTAAGAAACCTCGTTACGTAAATTGGAAGGACAAAAAAAAGAGTTCAATACAGCATTCTTATTTATAAAACTGTTTTCGGATCCATTGTTTATATCAAGCAAAATCTCTTTCGTCAACGCAGTAACTAAAATATGTACGCTTTGTGTAGATAAAGATTAGTAAAGACATAAAACTCTTTGTATGTCACAAAACATAAATGAATTACATAGAAAATGATAAAGGTGAACAATCGTTGTTCACGGCTTATAATGAGTGCTTGAAATATAAATATTGTAAATTTCATGAAATTGAATAAATACGAAAAGAAACTTGATAGAAATTAAGAGGGATGAAAAAAATGTTATTTCTTCAAAATCAAATCTCAAAAAATGATACATTGGAAAGTCTAATACATTATATATGATAATACATGTAATACTTTGTAGAAAATAGGAAAAAATAAACGAAGTATTTTACTACTCAGACGTGCACAGTTATTGAAAACACCCAATTACAGTGATATACGACGTACATTTTCTATGTGTGACCCATTGCAAAGTTAATGGATGGTGTAGACTTACATATTGTTCATTTTGAAGTGAATTGGTCGATAATGGAAGATCTTTTATAACCACGAAATAATGATATATGGATGCTGTTGGGAGATATGAGTGAGAGATATTACACATCCATCCAAAAACTGAGCCGATAATACATTCATTGTTATAGAACAAAACATTATTATTCAACTTAAAAATGTTCATACCAAGTCACTATGAACTCTTTCAACATTTGTCAAAGAAATATAAGAACATTCAAATGACAATAACATACTCATGGATATGTGTGCCTATTGTAAACCAATGCACTTTTATCATAACTTATTGCTGGGTCTTTCTTTCAAATAGAATGGTCTGGAGACGCATTGGTTGTCTTCTATTTGAAAGACCCTGCTCATTGTCATTATTGTCATTGTAATACATTAAGTATGTATTCTGGGCGACCGGCTTATTATGCACCAGATACCGCAAAAATACTTTGTATGTTGGCTTTTCAGATTTCAGCGTGATAAAGATTTACAGAAGGACGCAGGCATTTGATCTTTGATCACCTCCTTTGGTATTTATTTGGTCCACACCTTAAAATAGAAAGGAAATACTCATTGCAATTCAGTTAAATATGCAGAAAAAGATCTGGCTATTTGTTAAATTATTATTGCAAGGCAATGCTGAAATATTCATTCATGTATAAAAACTGCGCACGCCGGTATACATTAACTATGACGAAAACATGAAACCACAGATAAAATTATGTGAGCACACACATTAATAATTGCAAGTGTTTTATACGCGCAATGCAAATCTAGTTCATTGCAATGACGTTGGTTTCATTATGAAAACATAGTTGTTATATGTTATCGAACCAGCACTTGGAATATATGATAAAATGGTTTCTTTATACGAGAAGCAGGTATAGAAACGTGGCATAACCCTATTGGACCTATACTTTTATGCAAGAATATCGCTTATGCATCTTAATTTGTGCATTGCATTAACATCTTTAGGACACCCGGACTTATCAAATCCATTGTCATGCGGGCTCGGGCTTTAAATGCATCCTCGTGCTACTGAAGATGATAACGCACGAAATCAGATGCATTGACCCTTTATATTAGAAACTTGAAATTTAAACGAAAAGTAAAAGTAAGAAAAACAATTTTAAATTCCCATCGGTTGATATTATTTTTTTCCGTTCGTCTTTGAAACTGGTGAATTGGTGATAGTGTTTTTTCGGCGCTTTTGTCGGCACTATCGTTTGGAACTCGGACATTGCATACACCGGCTAAACATTAGAAAATTTGACAAAAAGTTATGGTTAAAACAATTAGTTTACCAAGGTACTATTGTATATGCAGTTTTTGCATATTATGCCAATAAATTTTCCGAATTTTGACATTTGATTGACATGCTGGATATGAATGTTTTCTATCTTTCACTAATGAATTATGACAATGTCAAACAAATAATTCGTTACCCACAATTAAATTGCGGACATCTATCGATTCGATTTTCAGTTTTTAAGCAATTTCATGTTCGACCTTTTTCATATTTTACAATGTTTACAATTTTCTTAGTTAGTGTGTGGGTGGCGCTGTTTTATGTCGCAACACCGCAAAATGTCGCCCTTGACACTAAATAATGTTGTGACATTTAACAGCGCCATAGTGTGCAAGTTGCCTGAAATTCTTAATTTAACATCACATCATATTCTTTTTAAGCTGGTGTTAGCTTCGTTCTGATTAGAGCTTGCTGTTACCACTTCTATCGATTAAACCTTTCCTTAAACATATCACACAAACAGTTAAATTTAGTGACTGTCCATATACGCACTTTGTTTCTTTTCTTAGCTCTGCCACTATACCGCCGTAAACAGTTACCTTCGAGCTAGATATTCCGGTATCTACCAGCAGCCGTTGTAAGATCCTTATCTTATCAACGTTTCAACAGGATAAATAATACATTGATTGTTTAGATGTGTAGAATATATTATATACTGAATGTATCAAACGTCTGTGAATTAATTTGCTACAATCTAAATAATTTAAATGCTTGTACTTACGTAAATTTTCAAAGTTCTCTATCTCAAGTTCTATTTCCTTTATCTTTGCTGTGATGACACTTTTCCTTTCATGGCGTTCTTGCATTTTAGAATGATACGTCAACTCTTTCTTCCTTTTGTTTATCTTCGACTCCATGTTCTCTAGTTTATTTTAATTTGATATAATGTTTGTGGAATGACAAAAGGTATAAGAACATTACAAAATACACAAGACTATTCAATAAACTTAAATTACCGTGAAATAAACTGACATAAATCGCAGACCACTACAAAATTAACGGTATGTAGAATAAAATAAAGCATGCATGGAAAATACTTAGTTATTCTCAGCTATTGAAAATGAGAAAAACATCTGTAAATAAGTATAGTATTAAAGCTGAGAGGAATAATTAAATCACAAAGTATTATACATGTTTTTCTTACTCTCTTCCCCTGTTAAATTTGTACTCAGTAGATAGTTTGCAATTCCTGAAAAATCTTCATCTGTTTGTTTATTCCTAGCTTTTATTGACAAGGCGTACTCCCCTTCCTTCTTTACCCCGGCTGTCACATGAAGCCTACCATGAACCTCGTCTACACGTGTATGTGTCACTGCTAATAATCAGATTGAAAAAGAAAAAAAACATATGAGCCGTGTCATGACAAAACTAACGTAATGCGTTTACGACCAGCATGGATCCAGACCAGCCTGCGCATTCGCGCAGTCTGATCAGGATCCATGCTGTTCGCTATCAGTTTCCCTACTTGTAATAGGGTGTGTAAGCGAACAGCATGTGTCCTGATCAGACTGCGCGGTAATGAGGTAATTAAAAAAAACAACAACAGAATAAATAAGAATTGTAAATTGGATAATGCAATTGTATTCTTACAGTAATGATTGAAAGTTCAATATGATCTTAACATTTTTGAAAATACCGGTCCGGGCGTTGTTTGTATTTTGCACAATTATGGTTAAATCCTCCTAATGCATTTCTTCCACATAATAAATATTACTTGCACTAAATTAGGTCAGTATTTTTTTCTGTAAACATTATATAAATGTATGACTCTCCCTATTTAAAAAGTAAAAAGTGTTTCATTTAATGTCTTGTACATTGTTTGAATGATACACATATGTAATAGTTTTAATTAAAATGCTAAATCTAATAATAGATATGAAGCCTGGCTTATTAAAAATCTAATAAAATCAAAAGTAAACGGTAAAACTTCTTTATATTTGACAAGATCAAACTTAGTACTTTATATAAAATAAACTATATGTGTATACCAAACTAGGCAATAAATCTCTTAATTCATAAGATTTAGTGATACATGTATTTTGAAAAGGGCACTCTATGCAAGAAAATGCCAAAAGGTCAAGTCAGTGCAAAACGATCGGATTAAAAAATTTCCTTAGTTCTGAAAAAGCACCCTTCCGATGTCTAAGCATTGCTTTCAGTCAAAACCGTAATGTTGATTTTGTTCAAATTTTGCATACAGGAGCCCTATAAGGCAAACAACTCAACTACATTGTCAATGTTTCGGTTAGTTTTATCGAAGTGCCCATTGAGGCGGTCATACCTTAATACAGCATTTACAGATTGAATTACAGCTCGAAGACAGGATAGTTTTTTTAATAGAAACACCATAAACTCAGTGACATGTCACAATTTTAACTTACTATTTATCTTTGAATTCTCTCCGACAATCTCCGAGTAAAATTCAACTTCATCAACTTTATCACTGTCTATTTGAAATGTAAGTTCAGATACATCCCCACCCTTCTGAGTGCATTCAATTGGAACGTTTGGCAAATATGTAGATGGATTTTTAAGACCAAAGTCAGCGGCCATGTATCCAAATCCATATCCAGTAGTACCTACGTCCAATGGAAGTTTTTTGCAATAAGGATCTGGTTCCAAGCATACAATTTTAAAGATCGCACACATATAATAAAAATCTTCATCTGTACTAGTATTATGAGTAGAGACAAACGTTTCAAAGATATATTCCCCTGCCACTGGAAACCGAATGTTAAAGGAAAACGTGTCGAAAACAGGTGAATAAACGACCAACAGAGGTAAATCTTGGGCATTGATCTTATTTAAATCAGCTGTACCTTTCCTTAGAGAAAGCCTGTAAATCATTGATATGCATCTTGAATCATGTTTGCTCGCACGAAATGAAACTGTACACTTGCCGTTTTTGGAAAACAGAACTCCACTCTGCTCATTTAACAGTTGCAGTTTAGCTATGAAAAAGAATTTTCCTACATATGGTAATCGCAAGAATTCTTCTTTACAAATGCGTTTTCCAGTTGGAAGAAGTTGCCATTTGTTACAATCTGGGAATGAATGGTAGATGAATATACTTGGATTAATGCAAAACCAAAAGTCTTCCACTTTTATAAAACAAATTCCTGCCGACCCTTCTCTATCCTCGATTACTGTTTTTCCTTCTTCATTTTCTAAAAGTATTTCACCTCCTCTTGAATGTCCTACAGCGGTAAACATGCCGCTTACGACATCAACAATGTGCCAGCGTCCATTTGCTCTAAATACATTCCAACTTTTACGTATTATACCGGCGTTATTCTCTTTGTGGCCTGGTACATATTCCAAAGATTTTGTTATACCTTCAACGACCTGTTGTTGAATATTGGCTGATCTAAAATGATATTTAACAGTGATAATTATGAAAATAATAAATAAAAGGTTTTCGACTGGAATACTGATACTATCAGCGTGTCCCTTACCAATCGTGTTGTAATGGACGGTAGTACGTTTACCGATGCCTCCCCATTATTTGTAATTAAATGATTAACTTTTGTCTTTTTACTATAACTACACAATGTCACAATTTTAAGTATAAATTTTTATCATTACATGTAGGTGATGGAAATGTTAAGCCGATTTAAAGGACAACACATTTAGATGTATAAGTTTCAAGTAGGCATCTGATATCACTCGTACGTAGCATATGTTATCAAGCTTAAAGCTTTTAATATAAATCTTATGGGAATATTTCTGAAAGGCAAAAGCACTTTTCTTTGAATAAAGTTTTAAGAATCTTTTTATTGACGATTAAGCACCATGTCTTAATGTTTAAAATCTTACTTGCAAAGCCAACTGAACGACAAAACGGGGTGTATTTCAAGCAGAACTTGTATTTCTTCTGGCAAACCTTTTATATGACTGGCATGCATTGTAGCCATCCATATGAAGAAAGCACGTGCGAGGAACAGCTCAATATTCTCGTCTTCAATAAGTGGCTCTTTAAAATACTTAATGAGTGAGGTAATTGACGTCATATGACAATATCGTACCTAATAAAAATAAAAACGTGTAACATAAGATAAAATAAAATTAAAAACATTCATGGTATGGAAAATGCTGGATATGTTAATTATTCTTGCTGTGCTAATTTAAATACGATTTGTCCTTTTCAAATATAAGAAAATCATTATACAAACATTATTGGTCAAATACTTATTTCTCTTATTTGTTTCTAACGACCTTAACCACTCGGCCACGGACGCCCCTATTTCTCTTATTGTGCTATATCTAATTGTTATACAAGAAGCATCAGTGTTTTTCGGAAAGCCTATAGACAGTATACATAATGGCCCTAAGTACATTATATCATAATTTTGATAAAATAAAATATATTTAATGAAAAAATACCCAAAATGTAAACTAACTTTAATATTCTTATAGAACGGTTTATTATAAAGACTGCAAATATCTATGAAAAAGTGACCCCTCGGGAACATTAAACAGAAAAATTACACGAAAATTGCAGACTCGGTTTGATTGAGTCTGTACGAGGTATGATCAAAAAGTTCTCGATCCGATATACTTCTAGCCACTACACTGAACATTTAAACATAATACGTCGATACCGATATCTTATTGAAGATTACTGACCGAGTTACACAGATTAAGTAACATAAAACACACTTTGATCAGTAGAGGGGTGTGTCATTTAGACCAAATGGAGAAAGTTGAAATCAGAGCCGTCATTAAGTACCTCTGTAAGAAAGAGATGTCCCCAAGGAAATCAATGAAGACTTTATGGATACACTTGGGAAGGCGTCCCCCTCCTATAGCACTGTGAAAAAAAGGCTGCTGAATTTAAGAGGGGCAGGGAGAGCATTGGAGATGATGAGCGACCTGGTCGACCAAAAGAGGTCACCAACGATGAAACTGCCGAAGCTGTGCACGATCTGGTCATGTGCGACAGAAGGCGAGACCTGCGAAGCATTGCTAGGGAAATGGGTTAGGCGTTTGGTTCAGTTCAGGCAATTCTGACTTATGTCTATGGCATGTCAAAGTTTTCCGCTAGATTGGTCCCTAGCCCACACAAATGACTGACGACCACCAGAAACGGACCAGACTCTACATTGCAAAATATTTTTGGTCTCGCTACGAGGATGACCCTGATTTTATCTACCGGATCGTAACTCAGGATGAAACATGGGACCATCACTTCGATCTAAAATAAAAAACAGAGCATGTAGTGGAAGCACCCTGGCTAACCATCTCCGAAGAAATGCAACAGGGTGCAATCAGCAGGGAAGATGATGCCTTCCATTTTTTGGAATTGTCAGGGGATAATCATGATTAACTATCTTGAACGAGGTCGTACCATAAACGGTACGTACTATGCAGACGAATTGAGATGTCTGCGTCAAGAAAGCGCGCATTAAAAGGAGGGGCAAACCGACTCAAGTCGTTCTGCTTCTTCATAGCAATTTGCCAGCTCACACATCCCAAGTTGCGATTGCTGCTGCAACTGACTGCGGCTTTGAATTGAATTATTCCCCATCCCCCATATTCTCCGGACTTGGTCCCCTCTGACTTCTACCTGTTTCCGAAACTGAAAACCAAACTTCGTGGTAGACGTTTTGGAAGCAATGAAGGTGTTTGTCATGGAGGCGGTGAATGAGTCCTTTGAGGACCAAAATAGAGAGTTCTATTTTGAAGTGTTAAACAAGTTGGAGCACGATAGAGGGCGATTATATTGAAAAGTAAGAACATTTGATGGGTTCTCTAACTACCGGAAGTACATGAGGGATAATGAAGAAAACTGGCTTGAGCGGTTCTCCATTCTCAACACTTAAAAGTGCTGGACTCAATGATCCCTGAGAACCAGAAAAATATAACGACACTGACGTGAAGTACGTGGCAATTTTTACGTTGCTGTTTTACCTGCTGTTGTGATATAAATATCTGGGTAACAGTGATCCCTAGGTAGCATTAAAAACAGCAACGTGGTGAATTGAGTGATCAAATGACACAGTTTAATCAAACGAACAAAACGTATTATAAACTGCATAAAATTCTAACAAACACCATAAAATATATGCAAATTAAAACTAAAACCTGAAGGATTTGACAAAGCTCGTTTAATTTTTATTTTGCTTGAATTGTATGTTTTAAGGATTTTTCCCTTTTTCAAGAAGTTGCGAATGCATTTGAAGGTATGTAGTGTTCTCTTTCTATAGCTTATATGTAGATATTGGTCGATGACAGTTACTAACCATTTTCATGTTTTAGGTACAAATAAAGGAACAAAGAAATTTTCTTCTTTAGAAAAGACAAACATAACTTTTATAATATCTAAAAAATGGGTTAAGAGATTGTTTGAAGAAAGTAGGAATAAATGTGAAATAATTTGTCGTAAAAGTATCCAAACAAGATTACTAAACTATACTAATAACCAAAAAGCAACGGATGAAAAAGTTGGTTCAGGTAATTGATCAATGAATATCTTTTAGATACTATAATGGTACACCCAAATTGAAAGCTTTTAAGAAATAAAAATTAAAGCATTTCTGGGAAATATAGAGCCTTAAAGCCGGTGTTTCGGGGCGTGAACCGTAACTTGCATTATCCATTTTCGTCCACGAATAGGCTCAATCATGCCGACCCTGCAACATTTTCAATTTTGTCGTTTTATGCGTTCTCTAGGGACAAGAATATTCCCATGTTGTTGACAAAGATGGTGATTTTAATTGAAAACAATCGTTAATATATCTGGTTATCAGTTCTAGTTAATATTGAACAAAAACCATCATGAAAGTGGAAAAACTATGCAACGTAATGTTCCAAAACTGAACTTTATTTAAAAAATTTGCCACAAAAGAACGCTCAGAGAGTTTAATACTCATTCCATGATAAATTTGTCTTCAGAATTGACTTAACTGAATGTAGATTTAAACTCAAATTACCTTGGAAACGTAAGCATCGTAGTTATGAAAATCTACTTTGTCTTCATCATATGTATGTATCTTCTCCATCCTTTAAATTGGTATGTGAACAGCAATAAATCTTATATTGAAAACAATGAAACATTTATTTTTATCATAACATGGTTAAAATCACACTTTATTGATGTTTATTTGTTCAAAGTAAAAAGAAATTTCCTACACTTAAATCATTCCAATTTTTATTAAACTACTTTGTAGAAAATGCTTATTCAACAAGCGAATATTTAATATTTTTAGAAGTGACTAGATCACAGTTTCTATGTTCCTTCTGAATTATTTTAACTTTCTTAACATATGTTCATTTGAAAGTCACAAATAGAATAGAATAACTTTGCATTATATATCACGCATATAGTTACATTGAGGATTTAAGTCGTTCAAGTATTATAAGTATATTAAATAAGATTTTAACTGCGATTATAACATATCGCTCTCTAATAGACATGGCTAAAAAGATACCTGAATCTACTACAAATCTTATAAAGGTATTAAGAAAAACTGAACGATTATTTATAAAATTTTGCATGGTTGCATCCGGTTAAATGCTTCATATCAACTGATAAGTTAAGTAAGATTGAAATGATTAGTGAACCATGGCATGGTTCTTGCACGTTAATCAGACTGTATGTTTGGTGCCATTTTCAAAAGCGTGGATGTGAATTCATATATCAATAATAATAACAATTACATTTATTACCTGTATAATGTTGATTGGATTTTCTCCTTGCTTGTCAATGCATAGATCCCTGACTAGCCTAATTCAAATTATCAGGTTAGTGGATACAATAAGTATTTCAGCACACCATATTTGTTAACAAAAGAGCACATGCCAATGTTTGTGGTTGAATCTTTTTTTATTCAAAGTAAAGGTCAGAGTAGGGATCTATCAATATGTAAGAAGAGATGTATTTTTTTTTATTTTCAATAAAACTTGACTCAATGCATTAGATGTCACACCTTGAGCATGATTGTATTTATCTTAAAATATCCAATTATAACAATTCTAAACACCATTGAGCTACAAGCTGTAATTAGTAATTACCAAGTCTGCTCCCTGGTTACATTTAAACAACAGGAACTGAACTATTCGTCCTAATGTTTTTTTTCCATACGTACTTTCTTTATAGATTGGTTAAACAGTATCCAATTGAATGATATCCAATTGAAAGATAGACAATATCCATATGCATATAAACAATATATTTACCAATAGTTGTTAAAGTGTTACGGAACATTATAGAAAGTTATTAATAAGTACTTTGATTAAATATCAGCTTTACCTACACATTAATTTTTACAGGTAAGTAGAACATGGTACTTATTTAACAACATTTTCCTGCAGCACGATTAAGGAAGTCGCCAACAGGATAAATCAAGCAGCGAATTATCATAACGTGAAAATTGGATATTGAATATACTTTAATGTATATGATTCAATCTCCATTGAAAAGAAGACTTTCAGTTATAATACAAGAAGTAGATCTATATTTAATCAATTCATTTGAAATGTCTCATTTTATGTGTTTATAAATCATCGCGCTTTTCAGAATGAAAAGAGCTATTGAAATCAAAGCCAACGATGCTGAAAATATGCAAAGGTATTTTTCGGACCATCATATACATATATGTATAAGCGAAGTACCTTATTTCGTCTTTTCATAAATATCATTAAAGAAAAGTACACATAGTATTTAATGGGGTAATTATCTAATCAATGCGAAGTGTGAAAGTGACTAGGAAATTTGATGTTTCATGTAGATTACGTAGTAACTTTTCCTAATATTGGTTTCCAGTAGAAAGTATGACAAACCTATTTCAAAAATAATGGCAAATTATTTGCAATAATTTGGCTTTTCCTTTTAGCTCCGGTTGTGGTAATCACTTATGTAACTTTTCCTTTCCAGTCATATTTCGGAAGAAGTTTTAAAATTAAGTATGCTTTTATCTTGTTTCAAGGTGTAAGGTTGACTAACTTCTGTACTGATCTGTGAGCTTATAGATTCTTTAGTGTATAGCGGTTCTCATCAGATAGTATCTCTCTTTCCAGACTTCAAAGGAGCAAATACAATTGATATAAATTTGATGTGTATAACTAATTACAAATTGAAGGCGCTGTGCTTTTTATGCCTCCGCCATGAAAATGGCAAGAGAGCATATAGTGTTACCTAAGTCCGTCAGTCCATGCGTGTATGTGTGTGTGTATTCGAAAATCTTGTTAGGCCCATAATTCTATTCGGCATTAAGGGATTTTAAAACATGGCACAAATGTAAAGCATAATGAAATGGTATTTCGTGCACCAGACCAAGACCCTAATTTCAAAGTTAATGTAGTGGGGGGTTTTTAGTAAAACAACAGTGTGTAGTGTTTACTAGATTTATTTAGGTGTAGAAGAAACCTTTAACAAAATAAATAGATTATAATACAAATAACAAAGAGAAATATAATACAATAGAAAATTTATGAATTGCATATTTTATAATTTACAATAATTACAATATATACATTATAAACATTTTACAATTACAATTAAAATAAATATATACATACCAGGCTTTAAATAGATGAGATTTAATTTAATAGTTATGAATGATAATTAAACTTATTAATATTTTTATGAAGAAATAGTATAATTATTTTGAATGTACGAGATGTTACTGCCTTGAATGCAATGAAAGGAGTGGTTAGTTACCAAGAAAAATTAGCTATTCCAGAACCCAATTATTTATTACTTAACTTGCATACCAAAACCAATTATTTATTACTTAACTTGCAAAACCAGTTTAATTACCCATAACGAAAGGAACAAAGACAAACATGAACACATAACACTTCAAAAGATTTGATTGGCCTTTAAGGGAAATAACTACCGTATTTATTATAAAAAGTGAACTTGGCTTAATTTAACCTTATTTTCACACTCCCCACTCTAGTTAAAAATGACACCGGCATTTTTTTAAACAATTATTAATGAAACCTGGATTTATAAAAAAAATAACATTATGTTTAATTTGAAAAACAAAAATGCAATACACTGTATATTTATATGACGACATAAATATATTATATTATTTAAGATATACTGCCCTCCTATAACTATTTTGCAATAGTTAAACAGTAAAATATAAAGAAATAATGCAATACAGTAGAGTTGTTAATTTTACTTGAAAATAATAAATACATAGTATATACCTTCATACATAGGACCCATGTGAAATTTAAAAGGACTGCATAAAAAATGAAACAACATTATACAATTATACCCATTTTTCATACCTATTTGGTGGATGTATTACACGTTTAGGGCGTGGGATAGGGCGTGAAGATAAAACGGGCGTATGTACTGGAATGACTGGAATAGTTACTGGAGTACTTGGTTTACTTACTGGAGTAACTGGTTTACTTAATGGGGTAACTGGTACACTTACTGGAGTAACTGGAACACTTACTGGAGTAACTGGGATAGTTACTGGAGTAACTGGAACACTTACTGGAGTAACTGGAACACTTACTGAAGTAACTGGTACACTTACTGGAGTAACTGAGACATTGTTTGGGGAATATGTTACAGGATTGGGGTGAATCCTGGGAACAAATGAAGGGATAGAAATAGAAGGAGCATGAGAAGAATGTTTATAATTAACGCCAGTATTGCGACTGCGAGTAACTGGAAATTTTCTTTGTGGTATGATGTATACACCAGATGATGATTCAGAAGAGCTAGAATCAGCATCATACTTTTTTTGTATAGGAACACGTTTAGGTTTTGGTTTAGGCTTATTTTTAACAGGTAAATTTGTATTTTTTTTAGGTATAGAAATAAATGGAAGAAGCATATTTTTGTGAAGGGTTTTGACAGGACCTTTTTGAGACTTAAGTTGTACTTTATATACAGGTTGGTTAGGAAATGGTATGTTAATGATAACAAAAGGATTTTTTTTTGGCCTTTAAGGAAAATAACTACCGTATTTATTATAAAAAGTAAACTTGGCTTAATTTAACCTTATTTACATTAATGTCACACATATAGGTCAAAGGTTAGCAGTTGAAAACTATTTTCCAGCTCATACCTCTGTTATGCATCAGTAGACTTTGAAATGACTTGGCATAAACTTTGAAACATGTTGAGATGTCGTTTAATGCGCAAAACCTATACCACCAGCTTCAAGGTCAAGGGTCCCATTTTGAAGTCAAAGATCAGCAGTTTGAAAATCTTATCCGTTTTATACCTCTGTCATGCATTAAGGGATTTTGGAATAACTTGACGAAGGTGTTGAGTCCTTGTAATCCTAGCAGTTGATATAGTTTTTGCTTTACTTAGACAATAAAATAATTGTTACTTATCGGACTTTTGTTTTTCCAGTTTTATGTTGCAGTGCAGACAAAAACTGAGAAAGTTTTGTCCTCTATCATTCTAGGATTAAGACCTAATTAATTATAAAAACTGTTTTTGTCAACAGCCATCTGTCCTTTCAGTTGAAAAGGTTTTTTATTGTAAGTTTTTGAAATAGCAATCTATTGAACAGTTACCTTTTTGAACATTACAGTAGATTGTTTTTACAAATTTGGTACAATCAATCAAGAACAACATCAAAATATCCATATCTCTATATCTATAATATCTATGTGTACGTGTAAACGAAACCCACCCTTAAAACTTGACATAGTGTTTCGTTTCTTTATAACCTGTAAGGTTGATACTGTATATTATATAATAGCTAATGATTAAAGTGAATGGTAACCAGCTATTGAAACAAAACTACACTTAAACGATATGATAATGACTTTCTGGTTGTAAATAAAACATAAATTTTGAAGTTTCACAAAGAAAATAAATGAATAATAACTTGTTATCTTGAATACAGATACTGACCTGTTTTACAATATTTTATTTTATTATAATTCTACGACACAAATATACTCATTTTAGACATTTCTATAAAAAGAACGATTTTATACATGTTTTAAACGTTAAGATTATATGATTACATTTCAAAATACAATTGAACATAAAATACACACCACTGTTATATGAGATATGTCTGATTCTTAGTATAGTTTAAAAAATTCTTTGAGGCGTAATGTGAAAATATTTTACTGTCGAAACAAAGGATATATGTAACGAACAACTAGAATAAACATATACATAAGTAATTTTACTTTAAAAAATCACACTCTCTGAATAGGGTGGATTGCGGTTTATCCACTTTTCAGTAGATACATCTTATTTTAACAAAAACAAACAAACAAACAAACAAAGT